TCCCCTGGCACGTTTCTAACTCCACCATTTGGGGCAAGTCCGATTGAGCATGTCCCAAATTGTACATCTCCTCCCTCTCTTATTCCCACTCTTATATTTAACATAGATCACTTTTCAGTTAAATTTAAACACCTAAGAATAATTGTGTGTTAATTACAGAGTTCAACTAATAGTATTAAGTAGAACAAAAAATATACTAAAAGGGATAAAGTATTAAATTGTACACCAACAGTCAGGACAAGGGCTGATCAAGTCACTGTTTCTCATAGTGTCCATTTCACTTCAACAGGTTTCCTTTTTGATGCTCGGTTAGTTGTCACCAATCAGGGAGAACATATGATATTTGTCCCTTTGGGACTGGCTTATTTCAATCAGCATGATGTTTTCCAGATTCCTCCATTTTGTTGCAAATGACCAGATTTCATTGTTTTTTTTTTTTGTTGTTGTTGTTGGTTTGTTTTTTGTTTTTGGTTTTTTTGTTTATTTTATTTATTTATTTTTTTACTGCTGAACAGTATTCTATAGAGTAATAGAGTACATGTCCCATAACTTCTTTATCCAGTCTACTATTGATGGGCATTTAGGCTGATTCCAGGTCTTAGCTATTGTGAATTGAGATGCAATAAACATTGAGGTGCAGACAGCTTTTTTGTTTGCCAACTTAATTTCCTTTGGGTAAATTCCAAGGAGTGGGATGGTTGGATTGTATGGTAGGGTTATATTCAGGTTTCTGAGGAATCTCCAGACTGACTTCCATAGTGGCTTTACCAGTTTACATTCCCACCAACAGTGGATTAGTGTCCCTTTTTTCCCACATCCTCGCCAGCATCTGTTGTTGGTAGATTTCTGTATGTGAGCCATTCTAACTGGGGTGAGGTGAAACCTCATTGTGGTTTTGATCTGCATTTCCCTGATTGCTAGTGATCTTGAACATTTTTTTATATGTCTGTTGGCCATTTGGATTTCCTCTTTTGAAAAATGTCTGTTAAGGTCCTTGGCCCATCTCTGAAGTAGGTTGCTTGTTTTGTTGTTGTGGAGTTTCTTGATCTCTCTGTAGATTCTGATTATTAATCCTTTATCTGTTGCATAGTTTGCTAATATTTTTTCCCATTCTGTTGGTTGCCTCTTCACTTTCCTGACTGTTTCTTTTGCTGTACAGAAACTTCTCAATTTGATGTAATCCTAATTGTTAATTTTGGCTTTGACCGCCTGTGCTTCTGGAGTCTTTTCCAAGAAGTCTTTGCCAGTGCCTGTATCTTGCAGGGTTTCTCCAATGTTCTCTCATAATTTGATGGTGTCGGGTCATAAATTTAGGTCTTTAATCTGTGTTGAGTAGATTTTTGTGTAAGGTGAAAGGTAGGGGTCTTGCTTCATGATTCTGCACGTGGAAATCCAGTTTTCCCAGCAACACTTATTGAATAGACTGTCCTTATTCCGGGAATTGGTTTTAGATCCTTGATCAAATATAAGTTGGCTGTAGATGTTTGGATTGATTTCTGGTGTTTCCATTCTGTTCCATTGGTCTTTCCATCTGTTTCTGTACCAGTACCATGCTGTTTTGATTACAACTGCCCTGTAGCATGTCCTGAAATCTGGTGATGCCTCCAGCTTTGTTTTCGTGGTACAAGATTGCTTTAGCTATTCGAGGTCTCCTGTGCCTCCATATGAATTTCAGCATCACTTTTTTTCAGATCTGAGAAGAATGTCTTTGGTGTTTTGATTGGAATTGCATTGAATCTATAAATTGCTTTTGGGAGAATGGACATTTTGATGATGTTGATTCTTCCAATCCATGAGCATGGAAGATTTTTCCATTTTTCGGTATCCTCTTCTATTTCTTTAAGATTTTGTAATTCTCATCGTAGAGATCTTTAACGTCCTTGGTTAAGTTTATTCCAAGGTATTTGATTGTTTTTGTGGCTATTGTGAATGGGATTGATCTTAGCAGTTCTTTCTCAGCCATGGCATTGCCTGTGTATACAAAGGCTGTTGATTTTTGTGCATTGATTTTATATCCTGCTACTTTGCCAAACTCTTCTATGAGTTCCAATAGTCTCTTAGCAGAGTTCTTTGGATCCCCTAAATAAAGAATCATATCATCTGCAAAGAGGGATAGTTTGAGTTCTTCCTTCCCAATTTGTATCCCTTTAATTTCTTTTTCTTGCCTAATGGCTCCGGCTAAAACTTCCAGAACTACATTGAATAGCAGTGGTGAGAGTGGGCATCCCTGTCTGGTACCAGATCTCAGTGGAAATGCTTCCAACTTTTCCCCATTCAACATGCTGGTCATGGGTTTTTCATAAATTGCTTTGATCGTATTGAGGAATGTTCCTTCTATACCCAATTTGCTTAGAGTTTTCATCATGAAAGGGTGTTGTATTTTATCAAATGCTTTCTCTGCATCTATTGAGATAATCATATGGTTTTTCTTCTCCAGTTTGTTAATGTGGTGTATCACATTGATTGATTTGTGCACATTGAACCATCCCTGCATACCAGGGATAAATCCCACTTGGTCTGCGTGGATGATCTTTCTGATGTGTTGTTGCATTCTATTGGCCAGAATTTTATTGAGGATTTCTGCGTCTATGTTTATCAGGGATAGTGGTCTGTAGTTTTCTTTCAATGCTGCATCTTTTTCCGGCTTAGGGATTAAGGTGATGCTGGTTTCATAGAAAGAATTTGGGGCGAGCGCCGTGGCTCAATAGGCTAATCCTCTGCCTGCGGCACCGGCACACTGGGTTCTAGTCCCGGTCGGGGTGCCAGATTCTGTCCTGGTTGCTCCTCTTCCAATCCAGCTCTCTGCTGTGGCCCAGGAGTGCAGTGGAGGATGGCCCAAGTCCTTGGGCTCTGCACCCGCATGGGAGACCAGGAGGAAGCACCTGGCTCCTAGCTTCAGATCAGCGTAGTGTGCTGACTTCAGCACGCCAGCCGCAGCGGCCATTGGAGGGTGGACCAACGGAAAAGGAAGACCTTTCTTCCTGTCTCTCTCTCTCACTGTCCACTCTCCCTGTATTAAAAAAAAAAAAAAAAAGAATAAGAAGGAAAAAAGAAAGAATTTGGGAGGATTACCTCTTTTTGGATTGTTCTGAGTAGTTTGAGAAAAAAATGGAGTTAGTTCTTCTTTGAATGTCTGGTAGAATTCAGCAGTGAATCCATCTGGTCCTGAGCTTTTCTTTATTGGGAGGGCCTTTATTACCATTTCAATTTCTTTCTCAGTTATGGGTCTGTTTAGGTTTTCTATGTCTTCCTGGTTCAATTTAGGTAGGTTGCATGTGTCCAGGAATCTATACATTTCTGATAGATTTCCCTGTTTGCTGGCATACAAGTCCTTGTAGCAATTTTTGATGATTCTTTTTATTTCTGTGGTATCTGTTGTTACGTTTCCTTTTTCATCTCTGATTTTATTGATTTGGGTCTTTTCTTTTTTTAGTTAGTTGGGCCAATGGTTTGTCAATTTTGCTTATTTTTTTCAAAAAACAGCTCTTTGTTCGGCTGATTTTTTTTGTAATTTTTTTTGGATTCAATCCTGTTGATTTCTTCTCTGATTTTAATTATTTCTCTTCTCCTACTAGATTTGGGTCTGGTTTGCTACAGTTTTTCTAGATCCTTGAGATGCACTGAAAGCTCATTTATTTGGTGCCTTTCCAATATCTTGATGTAGGCACCTTTTGCTATAAATTTTCCTCTTACCATTGCGCTAAGCATATTTTCAAGATTCACACACATTCTTATGTATATCAAACTTTCATTCTTTTTTATAGCCAAATAGTACTCCATTATATTTATACATCATATTTTGTTTACCTATTCATCTGTTGATTAATGCTTGGGTTGTTTCTACCTATTGGTCACTGTGACAAACGACTATTGGTATGCAGGTATCTGCTTGAATTTCTGCTTTAAATTCTTTTAAATGCACATCTAAGTTATATAGTAATTCTATGTTTCACGTTTTTAGGCACTGTGAAACTGTTTTCCACAGTGAGTGTAACATTTGTTATTTTCTATTTTTCCTTTAAAGTTCATTATATATTCTGGATATTATGACCTCACCAGATATGTAATCTGTAAAACATTTCTCTATCTCTTTGCTTTCCTGACAGTAGCCTTTGAGTCACAAAATTCTTTATTTAGAAAATATCTAACTTTTCTATTTTTAATTAGTTGCTTTTTCTTTGAGTGTCCTATCTAAAAAATCATTACCAAATCAAATGTCATGAAGATTCTCCCGAATATTTTCTTCAAAGAATTTTATTGTTGACTTTAAGGGTTAGATGCAATAGACTCCTAAAGAGTGGGGGCAAAGACCATTTCTGATAAGAGTTTGTAATTGGCAACAGCTTTACCAAAAGATCACTATGTCTCTCTTAGTCCCCAGATCCTCTTGGTTAACTATTTGTTAAAAATGAAATGGTCACCAATAAAAACAACTCTGAATTCTTCCACAGAGTGAGGTAACTTTTGTAATGTGATTAGTTGTCTTTTAATTCGTCTGAATCTATTTGATTTGTTTAGTCTAGATCTTGGAATATTATGTTTCTTAAAATAGGTCACATGTGCACATCAAATATCTGTTGCCTTGTAAATATCCCCCCTACACACACACACACACACACACACACACTGGCAGGGGTGCGGGGAGGGCAGCACATTCACTCACATTCTCCTCTTACACAGCGAGGAAGCCAGTGGAAGCCTAAAAGCTCCCCTTGTTTTGTCTTCCTTACACATACATGTAGGACTTTTTAGCTAATGGGTACACAAAAGACACTGTATGATTTACTTACTGTCCCATAAGAGTTGAGAGAATAGTGGCTACAAATAGAAAATGAAGAAACTCACCAATTTCCCATGTACTCTACTAAAATAATCTCTCAACACAGAATATAATCATAACTGTGAAAATGCATTTCCTATGAATTAGGCCACTTTTTTTCTCATAACTGAACTGATACATTTTGAAACTTGAGAAGCGGGATGTTTAGTTTAACACCTACCGCCTTTGAGTGTTAAATCCATTAAGATGATTCTCTCTGAGTTCCGACACTAATGATAAAACCATCTGTAAAATAAAATCAGTTGCAGGTTAACTCCCACTGCAAACAGGATTACATCAGTTCTATTTTTCTTGGTGTGAGTGATATTTCCGCTGAGATTCCTTCCCCACCCCCCACCCGATCTCTCCTTAGGTTTCACTTTGTCAGAAGGAAAGGAAAGCAGCCTAAGACTCATTTAACAGTAAGTGGGATTTTATATCTAATGATCATTAATTTCCTAGGAGTGAAAACCAAACCCATTAAAAAAGAATTAAACTTATTTCTTCTTGTTTCCTTATTTTTAAAACTCCTTTTCCTTTATAAAGTTTTCAAAAGACCAGGATGGTTAACAATCACTAGAAATTTCATAACATTTTTTAAAAACAGGCAAAGACAATAAATTAAAATTTTTGAATTTGGCTAAAATTCAAGGGAGAAGAAAACATAGCTTAAATACTAAGATAAAATATGTAATACTATTTACAAGGTTATTTAGTGAATTTTCTGCTTTGCTTTAACATAAGATTCTAATCAGGGTATTTTAAACATCAGATTTGTCCAACAGTACAAGACTGTGTTTATACTGGAACAAAAGCTCTTCTACCAAAAAACTTCTGAGTGAATAAGTGAGATGCATTACAAGAAAGGGGCCGACTGCTTGGTTTACTAAAACCTTGCCGGGTTTCCTCCTCCTTTCTCATGATCTCTCATCTCACACTTCTTCCTTACATGGCCATAAGTGCACCCAAGGTAAGAAGAGATAAACAAAGAAAAGTTAAACACCTCTCACAGAGGAGTGAAATATTTCTATTTATCCTTTTTGCTGATGGCACATTCAGCAATGAAAATCTCAATACTAATAAATTTAAAATACTCACATTTCTAAGCAAACCAGGATAGTAATCCACAGGCTCATACCCAAGACCTTGAGCAAAAAGACCAACTTCTTTTATATCAAAACTGATCGCTGAAAGTATACGAGATAACAAACTCTAAAAAACATCAACAGAAATAGAAAAGGTCAACGACTTACACATAAATGCATGTCTCTGTTATATACAATGCCTAGAATCTGAGTCACTTGTAAATGGGATAGAATCTATAAAACTAGTAATCTCAATTTGTCCAACTACCCAGTCCATTTTGAATTAAGTATAAAGAAGAAATAAGTTAGCATTAAAATTAGTCCATTAAAAATAAGTCACTGTAAATGTTAATAGTTAAGCAAAAATAATATCTAGTTAATATTAAACATATAAAGAATAGGACTTTTTTCTTTTAAAAAACATCATGGGGCCAGCACTGTGCTGCAGTGGGTCAAGCCACCACCTGCAGTGCCGGCATCCCATTTGGGCACTGGATTGAGACCAGCCTGCTCCACTTCCTATCCTGCTCCCTCTTAATGTGCCTGGGAAAGCATCATAGAATGGCCCAAGCGCTTCAGCCCCTGCACCCACGTGGGAGACCAGATAAAGTTCCTGGCTCCTGGCTTCAGCCTGGCGTAGTCTTGACTGTTGCAGCCATCTGGGGAGTGAACCAGCAGATGGAAGAGCTCTCTCTCTCTCTGCTGCTCTCTCTAACGTGACCTTTCAAGTAAATAAATAAATCTTTTTTTAAAAAATGCAGCAAAATATTTTTATCAGAGTAGACAAAAGAATTTAATACAGGACAAAAAAATACCACAAATCACAGGGAAAAGAACATAATGAATAGTGCCTGGAAAACTATCTTTTAAAAAAGATGTTCACTTTACATTACTCATCAAAATACTGCCAAGTTTAATATAAATTAAAAATTAAATAAGATAATAAATAGGGAGAAATTTTTTTAAATTTATTTGACAGGTAGAGTTATAGACAATGAGAGAGGGAGACAGAGAAAAAGGTCTTCCTTCTGTTGGTTCACCCCCAAATGGCCGCTACGGCTGGTGCTGCGCCGATCAGAAGCCAGCAGCCAGGTGCTTCCTCCCAGTCTCCCATGCGGGTACAGGGGCCCAAGCACTTGGGCCACCCTCCACTGCCCTCCCAAGCCACAGCAGGGAGCTGGACTGGAAGAGGAGCAATTGGGACTAGAACCCGGTGCCCATATGGGATCCCAGTGCCGCAGGCAGAGGATTAACCAAGTGAGCTACGGCGCTGGCCATAAAATTATTTTTAAAGTATCTATATGAGAAAGCCCATTTCAAGGTGAAAAATCAAGGGAGTAAACTATAAAAGACTGTTCTAAATACAAATAAAAGTTTTTCAGAATGTAATATAAGCACAAACTAGAAAACTAGCAAATTGATCACATGTAATCAAAGTAATGTACACAACATGATAAAAAAGAGCATAAAAATGAGTATGAATAGATAACTTATAAAACTGAAATGTCTAAGAAACAGATACCTGTTTATCCTCCTAATCAAAAAGAGTAAATTAAGAGGCCAGCATTGTGGCTCAGTGAGTTGAGCTGCTGCCTGCGATGCCGACACTGCAAATGAGTGCTGGCTGGAGTCCTGGCTGCTCTGTGTCTGACTCAGCTCCCTGCTAATGTGCCTGAGAAAAACAGAAGATGGCCAAGTAATTGGACCCCTGCCATCCACATGGGAAACTCATAAAGCTCTTGACTTTGGCCTGGCCCAGCCCTGGCTGTTGGGGCCATTTGGGGAGTCAACCAGCACATGGAAGATCTTTCTCTCTCTCTGTCTCTCCCTCTCTCTCTGTAAGTCTGTCCTTCAAATAAATAAGGAAGATCTTTTAAAAGAAAAAAAAAAAAGTAAAACAGTAACATACCATTTTTCATTCAATGAATTATAGTATCTTACAAACATGGATTCTGAATGCAGTTTGGGTTTCTATGAAACAGATACTTCATGTGGGCTCTGAGGGGAGATGGGGGCTTCCAGAGTGCACCCACAGAGTGTGGGCAGGTGTTGCACAGCCCACAATCCATTGCCAAGCTTGACTTCCAGGGCCATGTGTGCCCACAGCAGGCTGTTCCCTAACAAAGATGCCTTCTAGGTCAACAGAGGCCCTGCTTTTCTGACATACGTATCAAAGGTCTAAAAGCAGTCAAAACCTTGGATATTGTTTGGCATACAGTCATAGGGAGATAAATCCACACATGATGATGAGGATTATGCTCAAAGATGTCCACTACTGTGTTCCTTCTCATAGTAAAAATGTTGAACAGCAGGGAATTATGAGCTTTTATACTCCTACACAAGTACAGTGGCACTGTAAGCCATTAAAATGTTTATAAGGCATTCATGGCAACATTTAAAATGTTATAAAGCTAAATGAAGATGCACAATTCTAAATCCAGAAATTATCTTAATCCACGTCATCTACATAAAAATGACACATAATAGGATGAAAAAATAATGGATGGAAACAGCACCAGAAGTCAACAGCCTCAGGGTGGTGCTTCTTAGGAATGTGAATATATAAAGTATACACTTTTCCCTTCTTTCAACTTTAGCAGGTTTCCCAGTTTTATATATTGTATATGAATTCTAAAGTCAGGAAAGAACTTGTTTTGAAAAAGTGAGTTATTTAGAAAAATTTAAAAATTTAAATAAGTTTTATTGAGACAATTCACACACCATGAATTTCATCCCCTTTAAAAATTGTACATTTAAAGTGAATAACTCAGTGATGTTTAGTATATTCACAGGAAACAGTTATTTTACAGTTTTTAAAAAGTTCTGCACTGTGGTTTGAGATACAGTGAATCTGCATGTATGCATATAAACGTATGCTGGTCTACATGTAAGTAAGTTTATACACAAATATTTGGAGATGATAGTCTAAATCAGGGTAGAGGCAAGGGTATCTTACTCAAGAGTGAGTACCTCATGGCTGGCATGGTGGCACAGCCAGTAAAGCTGCTGCCTGCAATGCTGGCATCCCATATAGGCCCTGGTTTGTGTCCCAGTTGCTCTATTTCCAATCCAGCTCCCTGCTAATAGCTTGGGAAGCACAGTGGGAGACGGCCCAAGCACTTGGGCACATGCCACCCACATGGGAGAGCCAGAACAAACTCTTGGCTCCTGGCTTTGGCCTGGCCTAGCCCCAGCTGTTGCCACCTGGAAAGTAAACCAGCAAAGGGAAGATCTCTCCCTCTCTGTCTCTGTCTCTGTCTCTTCCTCTCTCTGTATGTCTGACTTTCAGATAAGTAAATCTTAAAAAAAAAAAAAAAAAAAAGTAATTACTGCAGCCAGGGACAACAAACACTTTGGCACTATCATACCCAGTGCCACCCAGCGTGGTTATCCCTAACCATCACTGTGCTCATTTCTACTTCATCATAAAAGAATTCACATATTCAAAACACACAAAACAATAAGACACACTTTACCCATTATCAAACTTAATCAATCAAACATTAGAAGCACAGATGGGGCCTTCCGTGCCTCTCCCTTCCCCCACAGGTCTACCACAGGCTCCACTACAGGGGGAGATCTTGCCCCTGAATATGACAGGGACCCTCCAGTGTAGACCATGGTGATTTCTTCCTGTGAGCTCAGATTCACCTTAGTATCCTTAAAACAGAACTCCAAGCAACACTCCTAAGCAATATAGCATGAAACCTCTGTCCCAGCTTCAGGTCTGTTATAGAAGGGAACTGCAAATTAGAAAAATTTATAATGAGTTACAAAGTAGCACTGAAACGTTACTACTCAACAGAAAACATCCCTGATTTCAACAAAACAAAAAAGACCAGCAACACAGACCTTGTTGATTCCTCCATATCCCCACCAAAAAATCCATTTGAGGATACAAAAATAGGAAATTTACATAGTGAAAGTGAATTTTTTGTAAATCATAAGATAACTCAAAGGCTCCTTGAGTCCAAGAATGGGACCTGCTCTGGGCATAGATTGCAATGCAAGTGTCCTGGCAAAGGGAAAACCCAGACAAGCCTGGCCAGCCCCAAGTAAAACCCATGTGAAGAGGCTTACATCAGATCGAGGCAGGAAAAGGAGGTGGTGGGGTTTAGTGTGGACACCAGGAGGGCTCACAGTTGGGACAGTCTGGGTTTTTCACTGAGGAGGCTAGTCTGATGTTTAGTGGAACCCGGGCAGTACTGGAAGTTCTTGACTTTCTGCTACTAGACTTTTGATATTCTACTTAAAAAATACTTGAAGCACTTATATGCCAGGAGCTGTTCTAAGTGCTTTATAAATAGTAACTCATTTAATCCTCACAGCCTAGGGGTGGGATACTATTATTGAATCTGTGTTACAGATGAGGAAATCTGAGATAGAGTCAGCAAGCTGCCCAAGACAGTCACCTACTCTAAAATCAAATGGCTTATGTTTTTGAAAATGTTTATTTTCATCACAAAAGACAGATCTTCCATCTGCTGTTCTCCTTTATGAGTGGTGGGGACTGGCCAGCGCTGCGGCTCACTAGGCTAATCCTCCGCCTTGCGGCACTGGCACACCAGGTTCTAGTCCCAGTCGGGGCGCCGGATTCTGTCCCGGTTGCCCCTCTTCCAGGCCAGCTCTCTGCTGTGGCCAGGGAGTGCAGTGGAGGATGGCCCAAGTGCTTGGGCCCTGCACCCCATGGGAGACCAGGAGTACCACCTGGCTCCTGCCATTGGATTAGTGTGGTGCACCGGCCGCAGCGCACTGGCCACGGCGGCCACTGGAGGGTGAACCAACGGCAAAGGAAGACCTTTCTCTCTCTCTCTCACTGTCCACTCTGCCTGTCAAAAAAAAAAAAAAAATGAGTGGTGGGGACCCAAGCACTTGAGCCACCATCTGCTGCCTCCCAGGGGCATTAGCAGGAAGCAGATCTGAAGTGGAGTAGCAGGAAACTAGCACTCCAATACGGGATGTGGACATCCCAAGCAGCAGCTTAACTTGGCTGCCACAACAGCTGCCCCAGGGTAGCTTTTTTTTTTTTTTAACTTATTTATTTGAAAGGCTCACTTAAGGAGGGAGTGAAGGAGAGAGCGAGGGAGAGAGGAAGGAAAAAAGAGAGAGAAAATGAGTTCAATCTTCCATCTGCTGGTTCAACCCCCAAATGGCTCCAACAGCCAGGCTGGGCCAGATCAAAGCCAGGATCCAGGAGCTTCATCTAGGTCTCCCACATGGGTGGCAGGAGGCCCAACCATTTAAGTCATCTTTCACTACTTTCCCAGGCCATTGGCAGAGAGCTGGATCAGAAGTGGCATCCAGGACTCAAACTGATGCCTATATAGGATGGTGGTGCTGCAGGCTTGATTCTATGCCACAACCCCACTCACCCAGGTAGCTTCTAACAGTGCAAATCTGACTGGCTCAGATTAGACCCTTATGGCTTACTAAGTACTCTTACCATGAAGAGCAACAACATTCCCAAAGTGAAAAGGCTGGGACTCACTGGCTCTGTAGCAACCCCCAAATGCTACCCAGCTGACTTCCTCCTCAACATGTTTGGGACCCTGAAGGGGCTACAGGCCCCTCAGGATGTAAGTATGCCTTATTCCCCTTGCCAGAAGGTTCTCCTGGTCCCTGTATCAGGTTAAATGTCATTTCTTAAAGGAATTCCAACAATCCTAAGACCAAAGATTGGCTGGGTGTTCGCCATGAGTGGCACTGTGCTAAGCTTTGTTAAGTGGCGTCTCACTGAAAATCCCAAGTTCAATTTTTAATCAAATTCACTTGAGCAAAGTTTCATACCTGTGTTTCACATAAGTGGCCCTTAAAAAAAAAATTACAGCACAATGTGCTGTAGACCTAGGTGGGATGGAAAGTAATGAAGCATACAACAAAAGGAAACCAGTTTCAAAGCAGAGACAGCTGAAGATTGCAGATCTTGGAGCAGGTGCTTGGTTCAGGGGTTAGAACAGCTGTAGCTCACATCAGAGTGCCTGGATTTGATACTTACCACCAGCTCCTGATTCTTGTATCCTGCTAATGCAGACCCCGGGAGGCAGCGGTACCGGCTCAAAAACTTGAGTCCCAGCTTAGGCCTAGCTAATGTGGGTATCTGGAGAGTGAACCAACACATGGGAGCTCTTTATTTTTATCTGTCCCTCTCTCTCTTTCTACTTCTCAAATAATTGAGTAAATAAATATTTAAATAAGGTTGTAGGGGCCATCGTTGTAGCGCAGCAGGTTAAAGCCATCTCTGTCTGCCACTCTGCCTTGCAAATAAATAAATAAATAAATGTTGCAGACACTAAGGGAAACTTCGGCCAAGCTTTCCCCTGGAACCCAGGGGCTTCCAATAGCACTCACACCATAAGCCAGGGAAAGACTTTGCAGTAGCTCTCTGGCCATAGAGCCAATAAAAGTCAGTCTAGACATTTCATGGTTCAGAGTCTATGGTTAGGAACTGTACATAATTCCTACATAATATTTAAAATGACAATAAACAGTTCTCTTTATACTTTTTCTTCCTCAAAGAATTTATTTATTTGAAAAGCAAGTTATAGAGAGGGGAGGGAGGAAAGAGGAGAAGAGAGAGAGAGATCTCTTCTATCCACTGGTTCACTCCCTAAATGGCCACAATAGTCCAGGCAGGAGCCAGGAGCTTGGAACTTCACTCTGGGTCTCCCAAATGGGTGGCAGGGACCCAAACATTTGGACCATCTTCTGCTGCTTTCTCAAGCACATTACCAGGGAACTGGATCAGAAACAGAGCAGCCAGGATTCCAACTGGCACTCAAATAGTATGCCAGCATTGCAAGTGGCAGCTTAGCCTGCCTTAATCCTCAACACTGTTTTCAATGCCTGTATTGCACAAATATAGTCTTGGAAAAATGAAAATAAAGTAGACCTTCTGGATCAGCAGGTGACACATTCTCCTTTTTTTAACATTTGTTTAATATTTATTTTTTATTTATTTGAAAGACAAGAGTTACAGAGGGGGGAGAGGGAGAGAGAGTGTGCCTTCTATCCACTGGTTCATTTCCCAAATGGCCACAATGGTGGAGCTGAACCAATCCAAAGCTAGGAGCCAGGAGCTTCTTCTGGGTCTCTCACATGGGTGTAAGAGCCCAAGCACTAGGGCTATCATTCACTGCTTTCCCAGGCGCATTAACAGGAATCTGGATGGGAAGTGGAGTAGCCAGGACTTGAACCAGCACCCATATGAGATGCCAGTGCTGCAGGCCTGGGCTTTAACCTGCTGTGCCACAGCGCAGCCCCCAGCAGGTGATATATTCTAAGACCCCCCAAGAGGATACCTGAAACTGAGAGTAGCACTGAATATATATTATGTTTTTTCTATGGACATGCACACACCTATGATAAAGTTTAATTTTTAAAATAGACACAATAAGAGATTAACAATGATAATAATATACCATAATAAAAGTTGCCAGTATCATCAGTCTTGCATATTGGGAACACTGTTAAGTAAAATAAGAGCTACTTATTTTACTTATTTTTATTTATTTATTTATTTTATTTATTTATTTTATTTATTTATTTACTTATTATTATTTATGTTACTTGAATGCAAGCACTGTGATACAGATAAGTAAGCTGGCTATTCCGTGACCAGGGGTAGGTAGGACATACAGTGCAGATACGCTGAACAAAGGGGACCTGTATCCCTGGCAGGCCAGAGAGAAATGGCATATGACTTCACTGTGCTACCCAGAGCAGCTATATAATTTAAAACAAGGAACTGTTTGTTTCTGGAGTTTTTCATGTAATATTTTCAGACTGTTGCTGGTCATTGGTAACTGAAGCCAGTGTAAGTAAAACTGTGGAAAAGGAGGGGACTATTGTAATTTAGCTGGCAAATATGTCCTGGATATTTCCAAAATGATAACTATATACTGATTTTTAAAAATCAAAAGCTATAAAGATATTTCCTTACCCTGCTCCCTATCCCAGTAAAACAGACAAAACAAAAACCCTGGTTTCTGAATTTGTCTTAGCAGTTAAAACACTGGTTAGGGCACCTACATCTCATTATGTGAGGGCCTGGGTTCAATTCCCAGCTCCGGCTCCAGACTGCAGCTTCCTGCCAAGGTAGACCCAGGAACATAGCAGCTGGTAGATCAAATAGCTGGGTTACTAGGAGCCATCCATGTAGATGGAGCTCCTGGCTCCTGGCTTCAGCCTGGCCCAATCCTGGCTGTTGTGGATATTTGGGGAATGAACCAGGGGATAGGAGCTCTGTCTGTCTCTCTGTGTGTCTCTTGAGTTAAAACACAAACACGAAAACAACCTATACCACAACACTCAGCATTGGCCAAGATAGGGTGAAATGGTCACTCTGTTACTGTTGTTACTGTTTTATAAAGCCTTTCTGGGAGGTCACTTGATAAAATATAGTTGTGGTGGTTTGGGAGTGTCCCCCAAAGTCATGTGTTGGAAACCTAATCCCCAGTGCAACAGTGCTGATAACTAACCCACTTTAAGAGGTGATGAGGATAATCACAGTAAGAGATGCTCAGGTCTCGAGGGCCTTCGCTAGAATGGATTAAAGATGGTGTATAAAGAGTGAGTTGCAATATCAGGCGTGTTTGGCTCCTCCTCTTTCACGAATATGTCTTGCCCTTCTGCCACGGGATGACACACATGGAGCCCCTCAGTCTCGCATTTCCTGGCCTCTGAAACTGTAAAAATAAATCTCTGTTCTTTATAAACTACCCAGTCTCAGGTATTCGAGTAGCATAGTAGCACAAAACAAAGATATCAGCCAATACATTAAAATGAATATCCTTTTACCCAGTAATTCAATTTCTAAGAATATATCCTAAGGAAAGATTTAGGTCCATAGCAGTATTACTTATAACAGGAAAAACTAGAAACAACCAAAGTACTCAAGAAAAATTAGACTTGCTGAATTTGTCATGGCTTATCCAATAGAGTGAATTATGTTATAAAAAGATATTTAATAATATAGCAAAAGAAAATCAGACAACTGGAAAAGCAAGGTATAAAATTAAATGTTCAATGTGATTTTTATTTATTTATGTATTTATTTGAAAGTCAGAGAGAGCAGAGGCAGAGAGAGAGGGAGGTCTTCCATATAATGGTTCACACCCCAAACGGCTGCAATGGCTGGAGCTGCACCAATCTGAAGCCAGGAGCCAGGAACTTCTTCTGTGTCTCCCACATCGGTGCAGGGGTCCAAGCACTTGGGCCATCTTCCACTGCTTTCCCAGGCCATAGCAGAGAGCTGGATAGAAAGCAGAGCAGCCGGGTCTTGAACAGGTGTTCACATGGGATGCTGGCAGGCCAGGGTGTTAACCCACTGCGCCACAGCACCGGCCCCTCTATTCGTGATTTAAAATTTTTTCTTCACATTATCTGTATTTCTAAAATTTCTTAAATTAGCATATCCTAAGTTTTTATCATAAAAATGTTTGTAAAACAGAACTACATGCTTTATCTTATATCTGCCTTTTTCCCTAACTCCCTAATATGAACTGCTGTGGAGGACCACAAGAGTCCACAAGAGTTTTATGCTTGTCCTGTAAATATTAGGCCTACCTATGGTTATATAACTTCAAAGTAAACACCTCAAACTTTAGCCCCTTATTCTTTCAAAGTAAACTCAGAAATTGATAGCCATTTGTCATTGCTAAGAATAAATTTTTTACTGCCCAAATAGCCTAAACACAAAACCATTAAAGACCAGGCATTGGCCCTTAGACTAAAACAAATTACTACACACTCACACAGTAACAAATAACTTTAAAAAATTCTGGCAGAGGGGCTGGCACTGTGGAGCAGGAGGTTAAGTCATGACCTGCAACACCGGCATCCCACATCTGATCCAGCTCCCTGCTAGCGTGCTTGGGAAAGCAGCACCCCCGCCACCTACGTGGGAGACCCAGATGGAGTTCCAGGCTCAGGGCTTTGCCCTGGCCTAGCCCTGGCCATTGCAGCCTTTTGGGGAGTGAATCAGCAAACGAAATCTCTCTCTCTCTCTCTAACTCTTTCAAACAAACAAATCTTTTTTAAAAAAAAAAAAAAAAAAAAGGATAGCAAAGGTCATCAAGACACATCTATATTTAGAAGAAAAAAGTGCCGGCAGAGTGGTCTTGGAGGTCCTGTACTCCAACCTTTTCATTTTACTACTGAAGAACCGGGTATCTAAATACCATGCACATATAAAATGCATGTGGATATAAACAAACAGGTTTTGACATAAGGAAAACATGCATTGCCCTGACTAAAACCCTTCAAGGGTGGAAAGTGCACAGAACAGGGTCAAAAGTAAAATACTCTGGGGCTCAATTGTGATTCACAAATGAGTTTTATGAATGCAAGAACTCTGCTTGTGCTTGAAAAGCCACCAAAAATGCTTACAGGTGACTGTTCACAAGGAGTGATCCTTTGGTTTCTGCTCATCTCATTGTGTCTGCGCCTTCTTGTAACATTCACAGGCATGTGAGGAAACATGGAGAAAACAGGTCATGGTTTGGCATTCAGTTGGAGTAGGAAGAAGAGCTTTGGTTTTCACTCAGGCAAGAGGCTAGGAGAGCCAAACTAAGGTCAATATTCTCAAACAAAGAGCATATATTTTACACTTCTCCAAACAATTTCTTCATATGACCATTAAAATCTTTTAGAATTTCCATCTCTTTGCCGTCTACTGCACATGCAAAAACTTTGTACACAAGGACCCATCATTCATTCATTCATTCTACAAACAATATCAAGTATGATCTGATTTCATGGGGCCGGCCTTGTGGTACAGCAGGTTAAGCTGTCATCTGTGACACCAGCATCCCACTTGGGCACTGGCTCCACCATGATCCAGCTCCCTGCTCATGTACCTAGGAAAGCAGAAGAGGGCCCAAGTCTTGGTACCCTGAACCCATGTGGGAGACCAGGATGGAGTTCTAGGTTCCTGGCTTTGGCCTGGCTGTTGTGGCCATTTTGGGAATGAACCAGAAGATGGACTATGTCTCTGTGTGTGTGTGTCTCCCCTTTCTTTGTGTATAATTTTGCTTTCCAAATAAATAAATAAATCTTTTTTTTTTTTCCTAAAGTATGATCTGATCTTAGCTCCAAAGG